GGGCATTAGCTTAAAAATATAGCCATGCTTCTGTGGATGCTGCTTATTCTGGGGTAGAGGAGGTAGCTGTACATGTTTGGTCTCAGTTCTGTGACTGCAGCAGTGAGCACAGGCTGTCTGTGGAGCTGAGGAGCAGCATAGATGTTCCCGAGGTCATACCTCACAGTGAATATTGCTTTATATAGATGTGAATCATTATCATTTCCCAGTGCTGAATAGCAAGGAGGTGCAAGAAGGGATCATCCAGTAGGGATCCCTGTGTTCTCAGCAAGTCACCAATAACATATTTGCAGATATTATTTGTGTTTTCATCGGCTGACCTAACCTCTCAAGATGTCTTACACTAATAGTGAATCACAGCATGGTTGGGATACTTGTGTTACAGCATCATCTCTCACTGTTAAACAACAGCAAGAAGAAATGAGCAATATTTCAAATTGGAGCAGAATGAGAACTGACAGTACAGGAGGGATACTGTAAACTTTTGAATTCCCAGCAGGGAGGTAGATATCCAAGCCCTGAGCCTCCAGAGAGCTTCATGTGCCAATACCAGGTTCTGTTTGAAGATCACAGAATAGTTGAGGTTGGAAGGGACCCCTGGAGATCATCTGGTTTGAAATCTCATGGTGAGAGCCAGGACACAACTTTCTCCTAGTCTGCCTAAGTTTTGAAGGGTTTGATTTGAATTGATTTGGTACAGATAATTTAATAAATGATACTTTCACTGTAATTCCACAAATACAGAGGTAGTGGCTTTATGGCCATTTAAACTAATTTTGAAAGACTCTAAGTAACTTAGTAGTCGTAGCAGTTGAGAAAATGCCCTAAATTATCACAGAATCACCAAGGCTGGAAAAGACCTTTAAGATCATCAAGTCCAGCCTATGACCTAACATCACATCAGCCAGACCATGGCACTAAGTGCCACATCCAGACTTTCCTTGAACACATCCAGGGATGGTGCTTCCACCACTTCTCTGGGAAGTCCATTCCAATGTCTAATCACTCTCTCCATGAGGAAGTGCTTCCTAATATCCAACTTAAGCCTCCCCTGGAGCAGCTTCAGGCCAGGCCCTCTTGTTGCTAGTTGCCTGGAAAAAGAGCCCAGCCCCCACCTGACTACAACCTCCCTTCAGGTAGTTGAAGAGAGTCATAAGGTCCCCCCTGAGTCTTCTCTTCTCCAGGCTAAACAACCCCAGCTCCCTCAGCCTGTCCCTATAAAACTTTCCCCCTAGTCCCTTCATCAGCCTTGTTGCTCTAAATTATACTCAGTTTAGAAATCCAAAACTTGGAAATACTTACTTGTCATTGTATTCAATATGTTTTCTGTACTGCAGTTCAGCCCAGAGTAAATTAGCAGTGGAAGAAGGGGGGGGAATAAAGCAATAGAATTTATAACAAAATGGCAATGCCCAGCCTAAAGCCATGAAAAACATATATTAGCAAAAAGAACCTTGTCATCTGCGTTAAGTGTTTCCTTTTCCAGTACAATGGCACAGCTCCATCTCACATTCTGTTTCTTAAGACACAGATGCAAAGGAGATGGGTGGTTTGATGCAGTTTACCCATGAAGCCAAGAAATACTGTTCCCTTCCCCGAGGTACAGGCAAGCCTAGTCATGGATTATGTGCTTGGTTTTGCTCAAGCCACAGCCTCCACTTGTGTTGGTACATGGTTTCCCAGTACCAGTGACTTGTCCTCCAGGTGCCAAGTTGCCCAGTAACCTCTTCTCAAGCCTTCACCACACATCCAGACAGAGGGAAATGCGTCAGCCTCACCCTCTGTTTGCTTCACTATCCCAGCAGGATGTGCTTCCCCAGCCCTGAGCTGCATGGGTACCTCTGTCTCAGCAAGTGATGTCCCTCATGGGGCACTCCTTTTGGTCAGAGCCAGCACAGGGACTCCACTGAGCTGCAGCATTTAGTAATGGGCAAGGGCATGTTTGGAAATAACTCATTTCAAGTATACTTCTAGAAAAAGTGTAAAGGAATAAAGCATTAATGGTAAGAAGCCTGTAGGCCTTCTAGGTATATGAGATTAATCTTATGCAGGGACTTGGTAACACTGTCAATTCCACGGTTATGGGTGAGTAACTGAGACTGACCCCTTATGTCTGGAAAATTTCTTCATTGTTATTAGGATGGAAATACTACAGACCAATATTTTAAAATAATGCTGGCTGGACTTGGAAAATTTACATTCAGATAGTAAGAAATGGTAATTTCTTGCAAAAGTGTGTATCTTATATTCATTAAGGCAAGGTTCCTGGGGAAAATGACAAGTGTAATTAAAACCTGTCTCATCATGCACGCACACAGGGGAGGGCAAGCTGTGATTATAATGGTAACTGCTCCTAGCAGGTGTTTTTCTTTTAATATGAGATATTAAATAAAACTTCCTGTGTTTATTAACCCAAATACTCTCCTGTAGGCTTCTAACAGTGCCTCTGTGACATGCTGCAAACAAGGCTGAACTTCAACTATACCTTTCAGCAGAAACTTTTGTCTTCAGAGGCACAAAACCTTAGCTGAGACTGTTTCAGGGACCTGGAGCACAGTTGGTACTGAAAGTGCTTTTGCACTTTGTAGCTCTGGAGGTTGTTAGTTCCCCATGCTGAAGATCTCAGGCTTGTTGCAGCATGGTGGGGATGATGAGGGAGAGGAGGAAGCCCCGCCAGAAGCACTGTCATCTGTTGCCTGAAATTGTGAGAGGATGAATGTCATCAATTACAGTTTCAATAACAAAGAGTTAGAAGGGGAGGAGGCAGAGCTGTAGCCAGGAACTGGTCTTGGATGGTCTGGGCCTGATGTGTCACTTCAGAAGGGCAAGGTGCAGGATCTGAAAGGGTGGGAAGCTTGGCTCCACTCTTCCCCCTATACTACTTGACATTTCCCAGGCACCTCCAGTACTGTGAGACTACGTGGGCTTCTATGACTTTTATTTCAAGTCCATTTGTTACTTGCTGCCAGATTTCTCCCAAAGAATGTAGAGAAGTGGTAAATGGTGATTAATTTCGACCACCTAAGTAGAGAACTCATGACAGCCTCCCCATGTAATACAAGAAAGCTAAGGGCTTGCTGATGTCCTTTTGTGAGTGAATTGTGTAGCCTGGTTGTTTAATGGAGTGTTTAAAAATTGTCTTGCCAATAGCCTATGAATAATGTATACGAGAATAATGAAATACCTGACTGCTAAGGAACTACTGATATTCTGGGGAAATTTCTGTCACATGTGAGAACAATTTTGAAAGCACTGTCTTCTTGGGATGCCCTTTACTTATGGTCTTGCTGCTTCAGGGATTGCATTCCCTTTTTAGATACTGCATGTGAAGATGCCCACCACTGCTTCTGCCTCTGTCATTGAGCTTCACCTGACTCCCTTTGCTTGTCAAAACGCAGGAGATTTTACAGACACAAGTTCAGGCTTTACTGTTGAGCACCATAAGCATGGGGATAGGTGCTGTGTCGTCTTCAGCCATTCTTGGTATCTGCACCAAGGCACATTACATCAAAGGAAGATGGATGCTGGTTTTGTGTCATGGCAATGTCCCATGATGCAGAAAGCAGAAACAGGGCCAAGTGATTTGGAAAATAAGATGAATTGGTTTTTTGCAGGTTTTTGGAGCAAGGGCTCCTTGTGTGAGATAAGAAACCCCGAAGTGTCGTACATGGATGTTCAGATGTTGATGGACTTTGCAGGGTGAACCCAGCTCCGATGCCTCTAAATGTTACAGAATCACAGAATCCTTTCAGTTGGAAGAGAAGCTAAAGATCATTAAGTTCCAACTCTCCTGCATGAGCAGGGACACCTCCCACTAGAACAGGCTGCTCAGAGCCCCATCCAACCTGCCCTTGAATACCTCCAGGGATGGAGCCCCCACAACATGTCTGGGCAGCCTGTTCCAGTGTCTCACCACCCTGACACCCTTACCCATGTCCTTCTTCAGTGCATGAGGCCTGTGTGTGCTTTGGCCATGAGTAGTCGGAAGTTGTTGTGATACTAAGCAACTAAATCATGCTTGACCAAAGAAATGAGATTGAGAGTGATCCTCTGCTCATAGGGGAGCTCTGAAGGTTGCAATGCTTTAGCTACACGAGGAAACTGGTCTCCTTTTCTCACGTGTGTTTTTTCCCACCTGCACTAAAATGCACTAATATCACAGGAGGGCAAGTTAACACAATATGTATCTTACCACAGTCCAGACTGGTCTCAGCTAAGTGTATTTTAAAAGCTTGTGGAGTCTGTAGCTCTGTGCCCTGCCTCTGCTGTGGCTTTGTTATGAGTAGCCTAGTGCTCATGCTGCATTTTTGTGTCTGGATTTACACAGCAGAGCCCTGAGTCAAACGGTTTCCTGCAATATGGGCAGTGTATTATTAGTGTAATGCTAGAACTAAGCAACACGTGATTGATGTTGATATTAGTCAGCTGAGGAAGTGACATTCCCACCTGGAAAGTTGATGTGGTGGGTTTGGGAGTCATGAGGTGAAGCCAACAGCAATTTCCAGGCATGAGGCTTACAGGGCAGGAGAGAGGAGTTAGAAGACAGTTTGTATCCTCAGGGTGATCTGCAGCTGTCTAAGGAAGACTATTCACCAAAATGGGAGGAAAGATTTGCACTTTTGGCTTTTTTGCTGTTGGGGAATTGCAGTATTTTTGCAACTACAGAAGAGGTCAAGGACCACCAGAGAAATTTGATGGCCTAAATGCTTTCAGTGGAACAAAAAAACAGAACAGGTATCTAAAACTTCCTCCATCTCTACCACCCAAACCCCTTCTTGCCAGCCAGCAAATATTTTCAGCAGAAGAGGGTCACAGAGTTCTAGGCTGAGGATTATGGTCAAGCTGAACAAACTTTTTTTCAGGGCAGAAATGCTGCTGACAATATACATGAAAGAGTAGCTTTCAAAAGGAAGGAGTCAGTTCTGTTATGCAGTTTATCCCACTGATGCTTCTGATGATCCTAATAATTTATCTTTTCTTTTAATGCTTGTTTCTTTTAGGTGAAGAACGAAGGCCCCAAACTGGTGCCCTTCTTTAAAGCTACGTGTGTCTATTTTGTCCTCTGGCTGCCAACTTCCAGCCCCTCCTGGTTCAGTGCCCTCATCAAATGTCTGCCCATCTTCTGCCTGTGGGCTTTCCTTCTGGCTCATGGAATTAACTTCTTAGTGTCACACCGGAGCGCCAGCCGCATCCTAGCGGGACTCATCTTCTCGGCAGTGGGAGATGCCTTTCTCATCTGGCAGGAGCAGGGCTACTTCATTCATGGTGAGTGCAGTGTCAGTCCTAAAGGGATGCCACAGTGTCCAGCTGTTACCCTCTTTAATTATTAATGAGTTGCTGGGCCACGTGGTTTGTTTACTCCTGTACAGCTTCCCTTGGAAGTGGGAAGCACTCATCCCATGACTAAAATCCATCATCATTACAGCAATGATACCATGGATGAGTCTTTCTCTTGAACTTCCCTTGAGGTCAGAGAGGCAATTGTGGCAGATTTGGTTCCCTGGCACGTGGTTGCAGTATCTCAAGCTGGCTGGAGTTGGGAAGGTGGCATGGGCAGAAACCCTGGGGAAGAGAAGGAAGTGTTCATGCCACTTGACAGCTCCCATGAAGCTACAGGAAGTACCTGTCTCCTGTCTCTCTCCAGGGAGTTCTGTCAGCCCTATCCTACAAGGATCAGAAATAGGACAAATGGTGCAAAGCTCCTCAGCAGACAACTGGTGGCAAGAACACTGATGTTTTGATGGACAAGCCCATAGCCTGGGGCAGGTGTTTATGTGGATGCTAAAATCCAAAGCATCAGAAATCTTGCATATTCATCAGTATGAATCATGCAGCCTTGTTGCAAGAGATGTGTCTGTTTTGCAAGACCTGTAAATGATCAGCAAAGTCAAACCCTACCACAATAGCATGTCCTTTCTACAGAGATCCACACCTTTCAGAGCAAAACAAGCTTGTTTCATTTTGCTAGTCTGCAGAGTAGAACGTAATGACTTAGATTAATCATTTAAAGCCACATTGAACCTGCCTGCAGCAATGCTCTCTCCAGCCTTGGACGTCTACAAGAAATCAGCAGCAGTTGAGTCCACTGATGGGTGGGGTTTCGTAAGTTAATTTAACCAGCACAGGGTCTCGTATAACACCCACCATTAACTGGCTGCTGTGGTTGTCCCACTGGAAAATGTGAGGAGGGAACTTTTCTGACTTGTGCTGTTGTCAGCTCTGAAAGTCAAAGGCTTATTTCCCCCTGCCAGGAGGTCAGTATTTGGTTTTATTTTTAAATTCCCACAAGATCTTTTTTTTATGAGAGGGAAGTATGTGAAATGCCAGATATGAAAGGCCAAATGCTCTGAACCTGGTTTTAATCCTGTTTCCCAAGGACTTATCCTAATAATATTAAAAGTTCACGTACGTTTTTTACTGATTTTGGTGGGGTTTAGGTTAGGCCCTGAGGACATATCTGGCGGAAGCATGTTGCTGGGGAGCTCTCAGTCTTCTCCTGGAGTGCCATCTCCTCTGTGCTGAGTGTGGGGATCTTCACTGAAGAGCCTCCTCCCAGCAGAGGTACCTGGCTCAGCACAGGCTGCCTTAGCCTGACTACTCGTGCTTCTGTTTTGCCTTCTCAAATTGCTCCTTGAGCTGTGGCTTGGAAAACATTCAAGGCCTGATTCTCACTGTGACCGTTTTTGTATTTGAACTGTGCTGACCTTCTCCTTTCCCACGTAGCTGGGATATCTCTGAGTCCCCTCTCCAATTTAGCACCAGGGAAAGGTCAACCAGTCACAGCAATTCAGTATCTGGTTAATGTGTTTTCATCTGCAAATAAGTTGGGTTTTCAATCCTAGTCTCACAACTGAGAAGTGTTGCTTTGTGGGTTTAGACACATTTTTCTTAAGAAGAAAAGCTCTTTTGGAGCATTTTGAAAATCTCAGCCTTCATCCTGGCTGTCTCCTGCCTGCCTCAGTCCATGTTTATCCTAGCTACCATTTTCCATAGTGGGGCGTTAACATTTGCATTTCAGCTGTCAGCAGATAAAGCGCACTACCCCATTTCATCATTCACCTCTCCTGCAAAACGTATTTTCTCCTATTTAAAACTCAGCAGGCTGCTGTTGTTGACAATTGACAATATTCAAACTTTTGACATAATTTGTGGGAATTTGAAATTTCAGGGAAATATTACTTAAAAATGTACTTTCTGTTTGACTTCTTTGGTTTTCAGGCTGAAAAAAGGGTTAGGAATTGAACTGTTCTGAATAGCTTTTGAAACAATGAGTTTTTAAAAGGACATTCATTATGAGGAAGTGAGAGCCTGGGAACCTACTCCTGGCACACTTGACTTTCTTTCTTTTTTGCTGTTTCAGTCCACTAATAACATGCTGTTTTCTGACTAGCATCTCACTGTATGTAGAAGATACTTTACAGTGTTAACATCTACCTCCTTTCATAGCAGGCACTTAGAAACTATATGCATTTGGTGAAGAAGACAGGGACTAACAAAAAAGACTTACTGCCAGCCTGAGGGGAAACTCCAGAAGGCAGGGAAATGCACTCCCCTCCCTGTGCAGCCATCACAGGTTTCCCCTGTGATGTGGGTGTTGAATGAGCAAACCTGGGAGCTGACTCATTTGTTTGTGAGCAGCCTCACCACATACCAAAACTCTTTCTGCCTTTCTGGTTATCTGCTTTTTGCTGCATCCTGTCCTCCTCTTCTCCTCTTTGCCAGCTGCCTGCATGAAGGACAGTACATTCTTCAGTTCCACATCCTAGAACTCTCCATATAATGCCACTGAAGGAAAAAACACTTCTCACTGTTGGAGCGAAGTAACCTTCTTCTCCTTACCACCCCCAGTGCACTTACCTTTCCTGTGCTATAACACCATAAACAGCTCTTGTCCTAAATCCCTCCTCTGTTTCCTCAGTGCTGTGTCCATCATGGAACAGCTCTGTGAAACATCAGCTTCTTGTTGTCCCCCCCTTTGCACTTCTTTTAATCTTTACACTGTGTATTTTCTCTAGCCTCACCTTGCAGACCAGTTCTCCAGCAGCCCCTTTCCTCCTGAGGTTCCACCACAGTAGGAGGTTCTCATCACACCACAGCTGATTTTTCAGCAGATGTCCCATCTGGTCATCCCCAAAGGCACGGAGACTTCTTTGAGCTGCTGCAACACGAGAGTATTAGGATGAAGAAATGTCTACCAGCAGCAGGCTTAGTGACTGCCCTTTACACCACAGCCTCATGTTTTAAATGTAAACAAGTGTCCTGCTGGAGGACTCAGCTTCCCAGATCCTTTTCTCCATTTTATGCTTTAGAGCTGCATGAAAACTTCCAGCTACTCTAATAATCCTGCCAGGATAAAGTGCGACAGCCTGCAGCTGCACCATGTGTGGGGCTGAGAAACAGAGGACCTAGACTTAAGTTTGGGACCCATGATCTACAACGGGCAGGGCAACTAGTAGCAGCTGCACCAACACATTGTAACTTTTTTTTGTCAAATGGGTTAGTGGCAAGCAGATAACATATGGACAGAGCCTTCAAACACCCACACTGGGCATTTCTCAGGGGTGTTGCACTTCGAATGGAAGCCAGCATTTTATTTTCACTGATTGATTCCAGCTAAGATTCATCTAAATCTTGCCAATAGCCATAAAATTGTTGGCAGATCACATAGGTGCAGTCCCTGAAATATGCCAGCTGCTTCTTTCCAGCTTAGGTTTTTAGTAGCTATGGGCAGAGATGGAGAAGCCAGATTTAGTCCCTGAGTGCCTTTGGGTTGGTGGCTAAATACGGTCAAGCTTTGTATCTGGGTTTGGAGGGATTGGTATATTTTTTCATATTTTGTTCCTACACTTCTCTGATTCCAGCCTTCCTGTTTCACATATGTCCTATGAGCAAAACACTCTGGATTTCTAGAAGGGATGATCTCTGGTCTGCCTTGCCCCCACCTTTCCATCCAAAGCGAAGGAGGAAGCACCACTTGAAAAACAAGCTCTGTTCCTTCTGCAGCAGCTTGGTTCACCTGGCCTCTCAGCAAAAGGGCTTCTATCCCAACAGATCTGTACTTGGCTGCAGCTGTAGATGTGCTTGGCTTTTTCTTCAGGCAGGAGCCTGGTGCTAAGTCTGATCTCCCATGCACAGATTTTTATTGTAAAAGGTGGTCAGTGTGGTTTCTGTAGAAGTGTTAACGGTTGTAACACTGCAAGGACTGTGCTTGTTGTGGTATATTTAAAGCCCAATAGAACTACATGATTTATTCTGCTACCAACTGCCAGTCACTGATGAAAAGTCACACTTGCCTCTTTCCAGGTTTGCTGATGTTTGCCATCACACACATCCTCTACTCTTCAGCCTTCGGCATGAAGCCTTTGGACCTCAAAGCCGGCTTGTTGATGGGCCTTGTTTCCAGCTCCTGTTATGCCTTCCTGTACTCCTACCTCTCAGGCCCATTCACCTACCTGGTCGCTGTCTACATCGCCTTGATTGGCTTCATGGGCTGGCGAGCAGTTGCTGGTGTGCAGCTGTGCAATGACCTCTGGACATGGACCAAGCTCTCGGCCTGCATTGGCGCGATGCTGTTCATGGTGTCGGATCTGACCATTGCACTTAACAAGTTCTGCTTTCCTGTGCCCTACTCGCGCTTCATCATCATGGCTACTTACTATGCAGCCCAAATGCTTATTGCATTGTCAGCTGTAGAGACCAGAGATGAAGAGGACTTCAGAAAAAGGAGCTAGGTGAAGTGCCAGTAGTCTGTGAACAACGTGGGTTATATCTCAGGTGCTGTAGCTGCATTCACCCCTGAGAGAGATCTCCATTTCTCTAGGCACATTGGTGATGTTGATTTTGCTTGAAGCATTACCTTTGGGGCTTTTTTTTCAGTGGCTTTCTCTGAATACAGCTTACTTCAGTGTGGAGTTCACATCAGAAAGCTTAGACTGTCCCTGCAGTAGCTCCTCATTCAACTTTTCTGTCTTGGAAGTGCTGTGCTACTGCGTTTTACTGGTTAGTCTTGAAACTGATGCTGAATTTCTGTGAAGAGGAGAGCTGATGGAAAGGTTTGTCTATGCACTGTGCTAGAACCCTTGCTTTCAATAGTAGGCAGACAGGCACAGATCTCTGCTAAAGTCATAGGTAAAAATTAATTTAATTGTTGTCTCTTTTTATGAATTACAAACTCAATATGAAAACTGGAGCCATTTCCTCTGCAGAAAGGAAGCCTGGAGGTGAAAACTGCATATCCAGATGATGGCTGAGCTTTGGAGTCAACAGCAGCATGTGGGGCAGCCCCCAGCAGAACCAGAACGAAAGCAAAACACAGATCAGAGAGCATGGAGCAAGAGGGATGCTGACATGCAGTGCTGTGTGCTTTGATCGTAGCTGATTGCTGCTTCAGGTGATGCTGGAGCACCTACCATGTCTGTAGGTGCCTGTCAGCATTGTCACATGGCAGAACTAGGAGTCCGGTGGGATTTCAGGTCCATCTAGGTAGCCAGGCCACTGCGTTCTCCTTTGCTATGCACATGCAGTTACAGAGTGTCTGCAGCCACCAGTGACAGCTGAGATGTAATAGGCACAAGAAGAACGTTGATATTTACAGCAGGACTTGGAGCTTGTATATCCTAATTGTCCTTTGTATGGTGGGCAGGAATCTAAACTTTATGCCTTTCTTCCATGGTATCCTAACAACTATTGCTCTTTGCAGTATCTCTCTTGAACCTTCATGTGAGCATGTAGATTGCTGTTGTGTTTTGCCAGCTTGTGGTAAACAATCAGCTTTGCAGCACTTGCTTTGTGGAAAGCCCCTTATTCAGCAGAGCTTCCTGAAAAGCACCATCCTGTCTGTTTGAAGTGCCTGCTGCTTCCCTCTTGAACTCACATGGATGCAGAGAATGTGAAAGCCACCAGGGCTGGAAAAGCCTGTTTAATTCTGATCCATCCCCTTTGGTTCATTTGTCACCCATTTGCTGAAGCAAGATTACTTGCGATTTCAGACTTTCTTAAAAAGATACAGGAAGAGGTTGCCCTGATTTTTAATCCGGGTTCATTTGTGATCTTACGTATATTTTCCCTCATGTTTAGGATATCTAACAGCAAGCTCTCATTCTGTTTGAAACTGTCTTGAATGTGCTTTTTCCTTCTGTCCATTCTAGGGCTGCTCCCACGGGCTGAGATGCTCTCCCAATGGCTTGAGACATGAGAGCACTCAGGTGAGCAAACAAAGCTTGCGGAGGGTTTCTGCACTTCTTCAAACCTACAGCAAAACAGACACAACCAAAACAGACTGCACAACTCCAATCCATGCGTGCCCCAACTGCCCCTAGCACATGCTCACATGGGCAGGGTGACAGGAGCAACAGGCCTCCAGACCATCCCTGTGGGCTGAAAATCACCCTGATCTCCATACCTAGCATGCCCAGAGCATTCCAGGCAAAAGCCTGGCATGGAGCTCCCCGCACAGTCAGCAGAGCAGGAATTCCTCCTCACAAGGAGCTCAGAAGGGTCAGGGGGCAGCTGAGGAAACTTACCAACCCTGCAAGCTTTTCCCTTGGTGTTGAGATGTGCCTTGTGGTTCTCCCACCCCTCTCTGTCCTTCTGTGGTGGGACTGGGTGTGGAATAGGCACTGCCTCCCCATGGCTTCTTCATTAGTGCGAATGCAGCCAGTATTACAAAAATCTAGTTTAACAATCCTGGCCCTGTGGAGCCATCTGCTGCTTTTCAGACAGAGCTCAGAAAGGTCAGCTGCATTACTGAGAGGGAAAGCATTACCCAGTCCCATGTAATCTCTTCCGTTTAGTGCTGTTGTGTAATGTCAGTATTCATTCACTGGCTCACTGGGGCCTGTCTGGAGTAAACTGCTAAGGGAATTCAGAACCATAAAACATCTTCATTCATCAGCATTGCTTATCTCCTGGCCCCTGCTTGAACCCTGCCGTGTAGCTCTCTGCAGATGTCACCTGCTGTTACTCAGCTTGACTGTTTGCAGATCTCTTCCTGCAACAGACTACTAAGCTAAGAAGAAATCTAAGCATTTGGGATGAACCCATCATCATTCTCCCAGTGTGTGAGCAAGCAGAACATTTCAGTCTGCTGTATAGCTCCTCGTCATGGGTCAGGCCAGCATACTCAGTTCTTAGCTGGCAGTTCTTCAGAGGAGTTCCCTGCACCCTGAGCTTGCCTTTACTTTGAGGAAAACGTGTGTGTGATAAAGTAACCTTTATTTAAGTTGGAATTTTGATTCTTTTTCTCTTCCCCTCTAGAAATGAGTAGTCTTCAATTTACCCAAGAGGCTAAGTTGCTTTTCTGTGTGCTTTTTCATTTTGTCTTGCTTTGTTACCCTGCTCTACCATCAGCCACTGGATAATTGCAGAAAAAGATCTTTCAAGTGTTATTAGGAGGCCTGCCTTCTCCTCTCCACTGGCCATCAGAGGTGCAGTTTCTGGTGGCAGGGGTCTCTGGGTGGCTCTCGCTGGGACAGCAGAAACATGTGCAGCCCAAGTGAGCTGTTGTTGTTCCCTTGCTGCCCCTCACCTGGCTGGGACACATCCTGGCCAGGTATGGTGGCTCCATCCCAGTGCTGCAATGGCTTCAGCCTTCCCAGGAACACAAGGCAAAGCCCTCAGCATACAAAATCAGGGAGTTCTGGATGGCTCAGAGGTTCACCAGTGAAGGCTCTCAGTCTTCCAAATCTCTCTCCTGTGCTGCATTCCTCCTTTTAATCCATAGTACTTGAATTAAACTACTTTTCCTGGAGGTTCTTTCCTGCTGGGAAGAGACCAGCTGCTGTGGACACTGATTTGACACAATTCTGACTTTCATAAACCCTCAGAAATGCTAAGCAGTTGCTGACAGTCTGTTAAACACCTTTTCTTGGGATTACAACGTTCCTTCAACCCCGGGGAGGGCAATCTTCACTTTGAAAGGGAGCAAACAAAGTGGGAATGAGGTGACTGTTTGTGGCCCTGCCTTTGTGGACCTTCTGGTGGTCTCTTTCCATGGTAAAACTGCAAGGTTTGATCCATTCTTCTCCTGTTCAGGAGCATAGTCCTAGAGAATCACCCAGTTTTTGGCCCAGGGACATTACAGAGGGAATGAAGCACCCCAGTGGTGTTGTGTGCCTGGCCCCAGCAGTATGAGCTCCTTTCTTGCTAAGTACAGAGGCTTTCTTCTCACCCTGCTGCATTCAGAAACCACTCTGCAGTTCCCATCTATGGTCACTTGAGGTTACACACATGGCCCAATTACTTTTGCTCACCTTCATTCCTGTAGTTATCATCCTCTTGGAGATCCTTTGGCTCCTTATTCAGACATAAAAGATGCAGCACATGTATTTCAGCCTTGTATCTCTTTCTGTAACTAGATCCTCCTGACACAGAACTCCCAATGAAGTCAAAGTAGCAATGCTATTTGCAACTGGTTTTACGTGCTAGTAATGCTTCTGGGCTGTGCCAGTCACACAGATGTCAGCAGGGTGAAGCTACTGTAGAAAGAGCAGGTTGAGAAGAAAAACCCAAAGGATTTACCTGGCTTCTTACTTCTCTGTACTAAAGCAACTGCATGACTGATTGTTTGAAGAATTCCTCTAACATGGCTTTAAAGCAGGTTGCTGAAGGTTTCATGTAATCAGTGGAGGTAATTGATACATTTTTACACAAGTATATAAAATTCCCAAAACCAACTTAGCAGAATTTTGTCATGGCTCTTCAAAGTTTTCCAGTCCCATAGTTTGACAATAACACCTGTAAGTTTTCAGTTTGCTGTTATGGTAAATTTGGGAGCTGTTCTAGAAGAAGCAGATTAAAGCAAACAGCAACTGTAAAGCTCAGTGGCAGGTGCCTCTTTTTCTTTGCTTGGTTTCTGGATACAGATGGGGGCTGTTTTCAGCAGAGGCAGCATAACTCCATTCTTGGGAGTTATGGAAACAAGTCCTTGGAAATAAGTCCTTCTGGGTACTTCTGCCTTTTATCCATGCTTGCTCCTTTGGTGGCCTTGGGTAAGTCACTTACATTTTCAGGGGCCAGGTTCTCATCTGGTATAAAAAACTAAGTGTGTGAGAGCCACTTTACAACAAGTTACAACAGCAGGGAACCAGGCCCTCTTGGCACTTACCTACCTCACAAGGATGTTGTGAGGATTAATTCTCATACAGCACTTTCAGGATATAAAGTGCTATGTAAGTCCCAAGTATTATCCAATCTTAGTGTTAAACATGCTTTTATGGATCTGCAGGATTTCTCTTAAAGCATGGAATATGTGACTGCCTTTTCAATTTGCATCAGATGGGAAGAAAATGCAAAATATTTATTCACACTAACAGGTTGGGTTCAGCTGCACTTGAACTCTGAGGACGGTTTAGCATAAAAGACTGAACTCTGATTTCAGTTTTGCAAATGGTTTTTAGTTCTCCTAAAAGCCTCAACCAGAACCTTAGATGTGAACACTACATCCAAATTTTGCAGTCTGGTCTCATCCCTGACTGTTAGCTAGAATAAATCTAATCCAGCCAAAGCACAGTGCTGTCGCAGTCTTCCATGGCTGCTGGAAAGAATGGAACAGAAACTGAAGTTATTCTGTTCAACCTTCATTCTACAGAAGGTCAGCTAGGTTTCATGGGACAACTTGCAAAGGGATGTTTAATTTAATGTGAATATAAGTTTTACTGGGTTCGTAGCGAAGGGAAGTACTTGTACCACCAGTCCTAGGGCCTGGAACAAAAGCTGATCTAGAAATACAGCT